AAGTATATTTGGGATATGGTAATTCCAGTAGATAGAATCAATATAATCTAAAGTAATAGTTGAAAAAATGTACAAATATGTTAATGATTTTTTATACCAAGGACACAAGTTTAATATTACCTCAAAGAATATAATCACAATACAATGAGAACTATAAAGCTTTTACTCTTGGCACACAGACATGTCATGCTTAAGTGTAGTTGTGTTAATTTTATTTTGAGTAATAGTGTAATTTTATATTAAGTTAGGGTCAGTAAATAGTTTTAATGTACTTCTAATGAAAATTTAAGTAGATAGTAGAAAGAAGTATTTGAGACAATTTGGAAGAACATAGCACATACAGAAATAACTCATTCCATTTTTTTCATAATCAGAATTGCTTTGAATAATTAGGAAGTTAGATGTAAGGAATCAATGTGACTGTTTTGTATAACTAAAATATATTTTAGATATACCACAAGTTTACAGTATACCTGCTACAGCAGGCAATACCACATTCTCTAATTATATGATATGATTTTATCTAATGCCAGAGTGATTCCCTTTCAATATTGTGAATTGTATTTTATTGTAAAGTACATAATGACAAACTACAAATGATAAAAACGTTTATTATATGTGTTGATTTGTGCTTTGAATTTAAATTATTGTAACTACTGGATCAAATGCTTATATAGCTCTTTATGAATAATCCTTAAACCTCCAAACTCTATTTGTCAGCCTATCTTATTTGATTGCTTCTCTCTTTCATTTTTTCTATTTTAACTCAGGGACCAAGAAAACCAGACTAATTCCGTGATCTTCATTCTCTTGGGCTTCTCTGAATACCCGGATCTACAGGTGCCCCTGTTTCTCGTGTTTCTGACCATATACACAATCACTGTGCTGGGAAACCTGGGCATGATTGGCATCATCAGGGTCAATACAAAGCTCCGCAATACACCCATGTACTTTTTCCTTAGTCACCTTTCCTTTGTGGATTTCTGTTACTCTACTGTTGTAACACCCAAACTGTTAGAAAACTTGATCATAGAAGACAGAACCATCTCTTTCTCAGGCTGCATTATGCAGTTCTTCTTCGCATGTACATTTGTGGTGACTGAAACATACATGTTGGCAGTGATGGCCTATGACAGATTTGTTGCAGTGTGTAATCCTCTACTCTACACTGTTGCAATGTCTCCAAAGCTGTGTTCCTTTTTAGTGAGTGCATCATATTCTTGGGGTTTAATCTGTTCCCTGACACTTACTTACTTTTTGCTGAGATTATCCTTTCAAGGCATTAATGTCATTAATAACTTTGTGTGTGAGCATGCTGCTATTGTGGCTGTATCCTCTAGTGACCCTTACATTAATCAGGAGATTATTTTTGTCTCTGCCACATTTAATGAAATAAGCAGCCTGATTATTATTCTTACTTCCTATGTTTTCATCTTTATCACTGTCATGAAGATGCCTTCCTTCGGGAGCCGTAGGAAAGCCTTCTCTACATGTGCCTCCCACCTTACTGCCATTACTATTTTCCATGGGACAATTCTTTTTCTCTATTGTGTACCTAACACAAAGAGTTCTTGGCTCATGGTCAAAGTGGCCTCAGTGTTCTATACAGTCTTCATCCCTATGTTAAACCCCCTGATCTATAGTCTCAGAAACAAAGATGTCAAGGAGTCAGTCAGAAAGTTGGTGACCGAAAGTTTATAATGCCATATGTTGCCATATAGTGTGGTTTGCTTGCTCCTTCATATTCAGAAATATTTGTGCAGAATTTCTAAGATATTTAAAATTATTGAAAAGCTATAAAACCAACCAACCAACAACAAAAGTGATTTTTAATGCCAAGTTAGCTGATTATACAAAATCTATTTAATTGGACGTTGAATATTCAGCTATAAAATATAAAGCAACTTAGCAATAACTTTTTGGTTTAAATAAAGATTTCATACTTGAAATTCAACATGCACAACTTTAAAATTAGCACATATTATCGATGAAATAAATTTCTCATTTTTCAATGCTTGTAGAATAGAATAGAAATATACATATATAGAATTGATGGAAAAATCTCTTTTTAATTAGTAAACTACTTAATTGTCTTAACTAAATGATTATTATTTTTGCTACTATCACTTGATAATCATGATTCATGTTTTTTGTGATAACAAAATCATGGTACTATTTAATATACTACAGTGTCCATTCTACTATGAATTGCAAATTCTAGTCTTTTTTTTCTTCTAAGTTCTTGCTTGTTACTTCCAAAAGAAATAATATAATTTATTTATTAGAAATAATTTATAACAAACTGATGCAATTATAACTTTCTAAGTTTTTAAAAATAAACATCAATGTACCAATAAGCCATGTACTTTAGCTATAGGAATATATCACCCATTTAATATCTGGTAGTCTGTAAATCACTTGTGATATTTAACTAAATGCTCTGCTAAATAATATATGCATTTAAATAAAATAATATTTTGAATAAGAAATAATGTTTTGGGTGGTGTAATTACAATAAAAATGAACTGCATTTGTCACATAGATCTTATATTTTGAAACCTCAAAATTTTAAAACAGTAGATAGTAAATATCGAGTAAATTATAATTCTGACACTATAATTGCCTTCTCTGTTAGGTAGAAGAAAACAGAATTGCACAAATAACCATATTGGAGGTAATCCACACCTTTAGAATTAGATTTGGGACCCACTTTATAGGAAGGCATCCATACCTAATAATGTAAATCTTCCAAGCTATGACAGTATATGGTATTAGATCTATAAGGAGATTAATCCTGATGCTTAGCATGAAACTACATTCTAAACATATATGTTTGTATCCATAGAAAACCATCACTAACAGTCTTAATTAGTAAAGTCTCTCTTTCTAGTGAAGTCTGGTTTTACAGGTATACAAAATACTGAAATAAGTGATGGTTTAATACTGAGCACTAATGTATATACCTGAGGGTATCTCAAGATAACTGTACTTCATGAGATATAAATTGAAATCAATGGTGATCTAGAGAAATGCTGAGAATGGATGAGTGTACTGATACTCATATCTTCATATTAGAATATCTAATTTGTTGGTTCCCTTTAAAACCTCTGTAATTTTAGTCCTTGTAATTTCTATTGTGTAAAATAATGTGATAATGTTATATTAATTAATGTATTATCTTACATTGATGAACTGACTTGATACGGAGCAATACCACAGTTGCTATAAAAACTAAATAAAAGTCCTAAAATTATATGCTACTTTACCAGTTGTCATTGATTATCTATTATCATATTCTTGGTTCTTTGGTTGTAGTTCATTGATTATCTGTCAAACAAAGACAGAGGATACCTTCTGCAAGCCTTGAAAATTCAGAAGAAAAAAAGGATAAAAAAGGCTGGTATTATGAAAATCTCAGTGACAATTAAGTGGCAGACACGTGGACCATTGTGTACCATAGTACCACTGAAATCATTAGGATGGTGATTAAAACAAAAACACAGACAGGGAGAGAAAAAAATCAGGCAATGCATTTTATTCAAAATTTAGGGGGAAATAAAACATTCTTCTGTCTCATGCCTTATTCAAACTAAGATATGGTAACAGTGCCAACAAGCTTACAGTAGTTTTTTGTGAACATAGTTCTGTGAGAGGATCATGTGAGCAAACAGCATATTAATATTTTAAAATCAGTGTTAGCTCAAGAGAATGACATAGTCACTGATGAAAGACTACGACTTTTTAGAAAAGATCATTAAGGATCACCACAAATTAACCATACCTCAACTCTGCCAACATGCATGCAACTAGTAGCAGACATATGTACCCAGAGTCTCAAAGTTGTGGTTAAGAACACATATTACTCTTACAGAGAATGTGATTTCATGTCGCAACACACATACTGACATCCCACAGCTGAGTGTAACTCCATTTCCAAAGGATCCAACACTGTCTTTGACCTTCATGGACACTGTACTCAGGCACATAAACCCACACTGTGACATAATAAAATAACTAAAGATAAAATATTCTTTAATAACATACATCCAGTGAAGAAATGCTTGGTGCATCCTGTGAAGGAAATGGCTCTATCTTCAAAACTAGATTTCTTAAAAGTTTTTGAAGAACAACAGTAGAGGAAATGAATCATTAGGAGAGACTCATATATCAATGTAGTTCTTCCAAAAGGAAATAGTACAAGAGCTGTAGTACAGATAAGCATATATAAAAATCCATATAAAAGTAAGTGATGTTTCACATAATATAAACACTGCTCTGAACAAAATTTATAACATTTTAGGTAGCCTTACTATGTTATAAACATTAAGGTTTTGAATGTATAAGCTTCAGGTGTACAGACAAATATAAGTTTTATAATCTTAGAACCAGCAGTTACATACTAAGATTGACAGAAAAGTTATAAACATTATCATTCCCTCAGTGTAGTTCTTTCTTAGTGAGGGAAGTCATAAAAGTTGACACTAAAACTGATCCTGTGAAGTTTGTTGAGTGTAGTTGATGTAATATGCTTCTTTATTTTATGCTGGAGAAAGAAACAAAGGGAATTATCATCCACATCCACATGTATTCAGATATGTATAGGTGCTTATGCACAATTACAAACAAGCACACAGAGGAACACATATAAAGAATGGAGAAGGAAAAGAATTATATAATAAGAAAAAGAAAGGGAAAAGGAGAGTAAAACTAAAAGTGAAATACAAAATCTAATTAAATTAAATTTGGACATCATTAGAGAACAATGATTTAGTTCTCTCCATCTAAGATAATACCATAATTTTCATTCTCTATAAAGTTAGTTACAGTGAATAATATAACTATTATATACACAAACACACACACACTCAAACACACACATTATTACCACAGTTTCTAAAAATATTTTATTTTTGTTTCATTATTTTAATATTAGGAATTCAATGAATAAAAAAATTAAGAAAAATATTTTAGCTGTGTGTGCAAGTGTAATGTATGTGTATCTATAATGACTGAGAAAGGATTTTTATGTGGATTAACTTCCTCACAGTCTCTTTTACATCCTTATTTCTTAAGCTGTAAATAAGAGGATTAAGCATAGGAATGACCATGCTATAAAACACAGTGACTATCTTAACAAGAAGCAGTGAGCTCTTTGACTTGAGCACGCAGTATAGAAGAAGAATAATCCCGTGGCAGAAAGAGATGGCAGTCAGGTGTGGGGCACAGGTAGACAAAGCTTTTTGTAGTGCTCCTTTAGTGGGAATCTTGATGACAGTGATGAATATGACAACATAGGAGACAATGATGATAAGGAGGCTACAAATCTCATTGAACATACAAATTAACAAACATGCTATCTGGCTGAAAAAAGAATCAGAACAGGCTGCAGAAATTATGGCAGAATACTCACAGCAAAAGTGGTTAATGGTGGTAGACCTACAGTAAGATAGTGCCAAAAGAAAGTATGTTAGTGTGGTGGCACAGAGCCCACCCCATAGGTAAGTTCCAGTTACTAGGAGTGCACAGAGCCTACGAGACATAGCCACTGTGTAGAGCAGAGGGTTACAAATGGCCACAAAGCGGTCATAAGCCATTACTGCTAACATGAAGGTTTGGGTAACCACACAAGCACAGCCAAAGTAAAACTGAATTATGCATCCTTTGAGGGACATAGATCTGTCCTCTGTTATTAGAAGGTCTAACAGCTTTGGTGCAATCACAGTGGTGTAACAAAGATCAACAAAGGATAAGTGGCTGAGGAAAAAGTACATAGGAGTGTGGAGTTTAGCATTGATCCTGATGACAAAAATCATACCTAGATTTTCCAAAACAGTGATGGTGTATATGATCAAAAAGATCAGGAATAAAGGCACCTGTAAGTTCGGATACTCTGAGAATCCCACGAAGACAAATAAGACTCCAGTACTCTGATTCACTTGATGTTGCATTTGCAACCTTTTTTGAGGAAATCAGAGAGTGCATCCCAGGCAGCAGGATACAGTGGAAGATGTGGATATTATGAAGGGAGACAGAAGAATATGTGGTAATTTATGACACATCATATACTAACAGGTATTTCAAAAGAATATAACTATGTTTTTAATCAAAGAATGTTTCTTAGATTAGTAGGAGTAAAACTTCACCTCACTTAATATATACTGAGAAGACATGTACAACCCTGTGTAAACTTTAATGTTATCACTTAGTGAAAAGCTACACTCCAAACTGCATAGAAATCCCATTTAGCCACCTAAGTCTTAAGACCAATTTCTCTGATAATATTGGTACAGTAATATAGCCTTTAAACTAAGCTGTTAATATTCAGATATGCACAGTGGCATTAGTAACTTTAAATATTTAAATCTTTAAATAACTCTTAAAGAATATTTCAGATTTCCATTGTACTTCAAAACAATTTAGGATTTTATAGCATATTATATTCCATGCATATCCTTTTACCAAGATGTAAAAGAATCTATGTAATTTCTTTTGTTTTAGTTAGAGTTTTAATGTTTGTAACTGCTAGTGCATACACTTTCAATCTAAGAGGCTTTCATATAGAGGCAGGAAGACAGAAATATAGAAGTAGACTGTAAATCATCATAATATCTAATAGAAGAATGTTTAAAGTTTTTTTCAGGAAAATCTCTGTGGACTCTCCTAATGTAAGACAGGTTTGCAAGGTTAGGTCATTTTTGGTACTCACTCATCTAGCCCGTAAATCATTAATACCAATGGAGAGAACCATATTTATCATTAATTGCTTACATGGTTGAACAAAATGTTCAACTTTAAATATAAATGTTAATTTACATTATTTAGGGAGACCTTGTTTTGGAAGACAGAGGTATAATATAAACTACCATTTCACAATGCAAACTAAAGAATCTTGTTTTCTGTTTAGTGTATCAAGCCATCTGCAGTGCTTTTTTTCCCCTTTTCTTGTTTCATGGGTTAAAATTCCCTTCTGCAAGATTCAACTTGGTCTAAATTCTCCTGTTGGTACTGCTTAGACAGAGATCACTCATGAATGTGATATTTCATACAGTATTTTATATTCATTCACAAATTCTTATTGTTCAATCATTTGAAATCTCCAAATACTTAGATTTCTTAGCTCTTTCTAGCAAACCTGAATCTCTAAAACTAGGTTACTTGTTATTTTGCATTGGCTTTAAATGTCTGAAAAATTTACAGTGTTCTGCTTGGAATTTGACATTCAGAAGTAAATATATTTTTTACTTTTACAGTTTTTCCTTGTACTTCTGATAATTGTAACTTTTGTAGATAAATGCTACATTTTGAATAGCACACAATATACTTTTCAATATGTAAATATTTTACATTCATTCCTATTTCATATGTAATATCATTTTGTTATCATGCATATCTGAACTGTCTCTCTTCCTCTTTGCATTAATTTGATATAATTACCTTGTTCTAGAACTAAGATCATTCCATCCAACAACCTTGTCTCTAGTATGTATGTAACATGGCTAACTACTCAAGCATTAATAATAGCCCACTTACTCAGTAGTTTTCTATTGACAGATGGGACTTCTGTAAGATCTTCAACTCGATCAAGTTAGCATTGAATAAAATTCTGCTTCAGTAAACTATTTGTATGTGGCTGGAACAAGTTGTTTAAGGTCTGTTCCCAATTTCCTTGCACATAAAAATATATTGAGGAATTACTAACTCAATATTATTCTGTCACTGTTACTGTTATGATGTATCTTAAGAATTTAATTGCAGACCCATAAATATTGTATTACACTTGACAGTGAATGACCACAAAACATAGACTGTTTTTTCCTCTGTGTCATTATTTCCTGAGTTTACTTAGAATTTGTAATATAAGAGAAACAAATCTGGAGTTATTAACAGTTATTATTTTATAGATTCTGTAGGAACAAATAAGAAAAAAGAAATGGAAGCACACTTCAAAGAATGTTCTCCTTGGTTTTATTATGAGTATTCCTAAGCTTTCAGCTATAGCTTGTTGTAACATCTCAAATTATTACTCAATGTTTCTAATCTTTTCATTTTATTCCAGTTAGGGAAAAAACAAGGATTACTCATCATACACCTTTGAATGGATTCTAACTTCACAGCATTTATATTTACAAATTATCAGTGTCTCTGTGAGAATCATTTATATGTCCATGCAGTCAAAGAATTTTAAAGTTGGAAAGTTTAATCAATATCATTTTAATCCCACCAATGGTACATAAAAGTTCAAGGACAAAATCATGTCAAGATTTCTACAGATGCAATAAATAGTTCAGTACCTTGTATTATGAATCTCAGATGAATCATATGGTGTTATTGCCACTAGCTTCACAGAGCTCCTTCTCTAAAAAAAATATACTTTCATCTTAGAGTCTCACACATCTGACATGGTAATTCGCCATCCATCCAAAACCAGACATACTCAGTAGGCTCATTTATCAATGATTTCTGTAACCAATTCAGTAAATTATAAAAACAATAAATTTTACAAAAGTTTGACTAATGACAATTAATTTGGAATTAAGTCATAATATTTTCATCCTAAAAATGTGTTCCTAGAAAAGCCAAGAAAAACTTATTCATTATTAAAAGAATAATGGTCAGCATAAAAACATTCTTGATGTGAGTAAGGCCCTGAAGTCAAGTTTGGAGATCAAAGTGCGTGTTTTAAGTCTGAATGCATGGCCCCAGGGAATCAAACCACAGCAATGTTGAGCAAATATTTACCATTAACTAGAAACAAGTTTACTAAGAAAACAGTTTTCCAATTAAGAGTATAGTTAATCTAAATCACCAAATCATATGGGACACTTTATATGATAAGGTTGATTGTCTTTAGTAGAAAAATTCTTCCAATTTACAGCAACCATTGTACAGTTAAATATAAATTGATTGCTGAAAATATGACACCTCAAAAATTATATCCTGTACTATTTATCAGCTTTCTTTATTTTCTTAAATAAATTAATAACAAACTATCTGCTGTATTATTTTCTTTTAACTTGTCTATTTAACTGTTCATCTTAATAAAGCTATTTATCCAGGTACACATTTATATGCCAATTAATAGATCTTTTGAAACATAATATTTGGAAGTTTTGTTAAATTATGTTATAAAAAACCTAGCAGAAAATTTAGACCTACGTTTTTGAAGTTTGTTTTCATTTATAGTATAGTTTACACTTAATATCCCGAATCTTATTTTATTAAATTATTGCCATAATGTATGTCTTGCATTGTTTTTTTACAAGACTTACAACTTGAGGTTAAGACTGTTAAGCAGACTGAAAGCAAGGCTTTACTACTTACCTACTTATTTTGTCAAAATGAAGTCAATTGTCCAACAAAATATCACTTTCTTGAAGAGTAATTTTTCACTTATTTTATTTAATATGATATTAAATTTCATGAGATTTCTGATAGTGTCTTAATGGTCACATGTGTGCAGGATCATATCATTTGAAAATAGAGATATTTGAGTAGTTTTTTTCTCTCTGTCGTGTGTGTCTGTGTGTGTGTGTGTGTGTATTTTTTAGTGTGTGCATGTGTGTATGTTTCTAGCCACATTTTTCTCTATCAGCTAGAGGTTGAATTTTTTAATTTGATTTATTTTTATTAAAAATAGATTCTTATCTCATTCCATACTTCCTGACAAGAGTTTCCCCTATCTTCACTCCTCTCAGTTCCCTCTACCATTGTCTCTCCTCCAGATCCATTTATTCTCCCTTTGTTCTTCAAAAACAACTAGGCCTCCAGGAGACCGAGGGACAAACAGAATAAAACAAGCTACAATAAGACAGATCAACAGCTTTCATATCAAGGCTGTATTCATCTTGGTTTACATTTGGAAGATCTTAAGCATTAAGGGATGTATCTACTATTTTCAGTTTTACTAAAATGTATGTTTCCAATTATTCCCTAACAAGATTCTGAATTTCAATATTTGGCTGTGGGTACCGGCATCTGTTTCAGTCATCTGCTGCATAGAGCCTCTCAGGGGACAGTTATGCTAGGCTCAAGTATAGTGGCAGGGATTGGTATTTGCTCATATGATGGGTTTCAAGTAGGATCAGTTATTGGTTGGCCATTGCTTCAGTCTCAGCTCAATCTTTGAGCCTTTACTTCTTGTAGACAGGGCAAATTTGAATCACAAGAGTTGTGGGTAGGTTGTTGTCCTTTTATCTCTACTGGTGGTCCATCCTGCCTGGCTAAAGGAGGCGGCTTCTTCAGATTCCATATCCTCACTGTTATGCATCCCGACAAAGGTCATTCTCATATTCTTCTGGGAACCCACTCCCATCCTAGGTCTCTGGGACTTGCTAGAGATTAGCTCAACTTTTCTACCCTCGCAGTTATAGATTTCTAACAATTCTTCTGACCCTCTGGGCCTCTCTCCTGTATCTTCGTACACTTGACCCTGCCCCCTCATTCCCCTCTTCTTCCTCTCTCCAACCCTCACACCCTCTGCATCCTATGCATATTTTATGCATCATCTCTTTTAAGTGATATTCAAGCATATTCATTTGGGCCGTCCTTCTTATTTAATTTCTTTGTGTCTGTGGGATATCATCCTGTACTTTATTGCTAATACCCATTTGTCAGTACATTCTATGCATGTCCTTTTGGGTTTTGCTTACCTCACTCAGGATGATATTTTCTAGTTTAGTCAATTTGCCTTCAAAATTCATTATGTCCTTGTTTCTAATAGCTAAATAGTAGTCCATTGTGTAAATGAACCACATTTTCCATATCGATTTTTCCTGTTAAGGGATAGTTGTGTTGTTTTCAGTTCCTGGCTATTATGAATAAAGCTGCTATGAACATAGTGGAGCATGTATCCTTATGGTATTATGGAACAAATTTTGAGTGAATGCCTCAGAGCACTATAGCTGGTTCTTCAGGTGGAATTACTTCCTATTTCTGAGAAACCACCAGA